TGCTGAGTGCTCTGTGAGTGGGGGACCGAGGATAGGCCGTGGAAATTGAGTATCTGCTGAGTGCCCTGTGAGTGGGTGACCGAGGATAGTCCGTGGAAATTGAGTATCTGCTGAGTGCCCTGTGAGTGAGTGACCAGACAGACCTGCTCGTGGTGTCTTGCTTAGTTGCAGCAACTTTCACAAGCGGGTGGGGTTAGAAAGTTCTCTCTCCCAACCTTGTCAGAGTTGCTAAAACTGCGCGACACCATGCCCAGTTCTGTCTGGCAACCCTTTTACGGAGCACTCATGGTGGGTGCTGTCTGCCCAAGCTTTCTTGACCAGGCTTCTCTGAAGGAATTTTCTATTTGGAGGAAAGGACACCTCTGGTTGTCACAGCCGATCATGGTTATGGAGGCCTTTCTCCCTATACCTGCTGAATGGTTTCCTGCACGTCTTTCCATGGAGGTTTCTAAGCATTGAAGCCAACACGGTAACATTTGGCAGTGTGGTGTTGGGGTTCTTCCCTGTGGAGCCCAAGTACATTTTGCATCCACAGCAGAGGTGTTTAGGATTACCAAGGGGTGAGTGGGTTTGGAATGGGTTCCCCCGTCGTCATTTTTGGAGACAGGGTCTTGATCTGCTGCCCAGGCTGCGGTGCAGTAATGCAGCCGTAGCTCACTGTAGCCTTAAACTTCTAGACTCAAGTGATCCTCCTGCGTTGGCCTCCCAGAGTGCTGGGATTGCACATGTGAACCACTGCGCCTGGCCACCATAGACCAAGGAATCAGTGGGTTTAGAATGGATTCCCTCTCTTTTCTAGAAGGAATGTTCTCCTTCTTGAGAGGAAGGTTTCTCTTTTGTGCTTCTCCAAATGCAACAACAGGATACGTGTTGTGGTTAAGGGTGGGAACGCTCAGGGCAATGATGTGCTCCAGGTGAGCAGGAGGGAAAGAGGCTGCAGAACCTTCTCTGCCAAATGCCCCTGTGAGCAAATCAGAGCCAATCAAAAGGGGGAAGCTGTTAGAGTCTCTCTTACCCAATTATCTCCAAAGGCACCCAAAAAGAAAGGGAAGAAAGGCAAAGCCAAAGGTACTCCAGTTGTCGATGGACTCGCCCCAGAGGACATGAGCAAGGAGCAGGTGAGCAGAGCCGGCAGTGGCCCAGTCCCGGGGTGGGCGGGCGCCATGCAGGGTCAGGTGGGCAGAGACGGCTAAGGCCCAGTCCCGGCGTGGGTGGGCGCCACGCAAGGTCAGGTGAGCCGAGCCGGCTGTGGCCCAGTCCCAGGGTGGGTGGGCGCCACGCAGGGTCAGGTGGGC